TCCCTGGGCAACCCATTTCAATGCTTTATTACTCTTTCTGTAAACAACTTCTTCCAAATATCTCCCTCCTGATACTGCCAGGGACCGTGCCAAACCTTCTTCTGGGCAAAGCTCAGCCTGGCTGTCCCACTTCAAATCTTGTGTCCACCTTCTGGGCTCCCTGCACGAGTAGCATCTCTTTCCCAAGGGTGTTCTCATCTTAACAAAGCCTCTTGGTTGATGTCCCATGGACTCAGGAATGATGCCCAGTAGGTCTTGGGGGCTCTCAGCCCTGTTGTCACCCCTGCCATTTCCAAACAGCACCAGGGTGGGCTTCACCCTCGTGTCTGGGAGCAGTGGGAGGGGGAAGCCGGGCTGGGTGCGGGTGTTCCCACAGGGAAAGGGGCAGCAGTGGCCRAGCAGGYGAATCCAAGGGTGGGCTGGAGGGTYGGGGGTGTCACCCACCTCTTCTCTGCTCCTTAACTCACCACCACTCCCTTCGAGTACATGATCCTGGCGACCATCATTGCCAACTGTATCGTGCTGGCCCTGGAGCAGCACCTCCCCGAGGACGACAAGACGCCCATGTCACGGAGATTAGTGAGTACCCCGTGTCCATCCCACTCTGCCCTGCACTGGTGGGCTGGGGGAGAGCCAGAGGGGGACCCCCAATCTGGTTGTGGGGTGGCAGGGCAGGGCGTTTCCTCTGGGACATCTCCTCCAGCCTTCCTGAGGCTCCTGTAACCTCTTCTTCCTCTATGGAAGGAGTTCAGGAAGGTTTAAACCCCTTAGAAAGTGGGGTAATGAAGGACTGGGTGACCTGAGTGTGYCACAGCCACCCTTYTTTTTAATTCTGAGGTTGCTCCTGSCTGAGAAAGGGCTGGGAAAGCTCCCAAAGGAGATGATGGATGTGGGGAAGGTGGGATGGGGCACGAGTTGGGTCAATGTGCAATGCCTGGTGCTGTGCCTGCTCAGTCTCCCYCTCTCACTGGGTCACTGATTTCACTCGGGCAGGAGAAGACAGAGCCCTACTTCATTGGGATTTTCTGCTTCGAGGCTGGGATTAAGATCGTGGCCCTGGGATTCGTTTTCCACAAGGGCTCATACCTGCGCAACGGCTGGAATGTCATGGACTTCATCGTGGTCCTCAGCGGGTGAGTYGGGCACTGCGGGGCCGGTGGTGGGGTTGGGCGGATGTGGGGGCTCATCCTGGTGGGGACACGAGCTCCAGGACATGGGGAAACACCCTGGTTTGCTGCTGGTGGGGGTTTCTTCATCCTGATGGKGGCGTGGGGATGATGCCTCTCTGTGCTGGAGGCGCTGTGCTGGCTTTGCTCTGGTCACTGATGGTGGGACCAGGTTCCCTATGGAGTGAGGAGAGCTGGCTCTGGGGCCACCATGYCCAGCTTTCCTCACCTGGTGGCCTGTCACCCACTTGAACACAAGGCAAGGTGAGGACAGGGTGGTGACATGACCTGAAAAGTGACTGAATGTGGCATGGGAGAGATTTTGTCAAACCCTTCATGGGGATGGGGAAAAAAATCTCTGCTCCTCTTGCCCTGCCAAGCACTTTCCAGGCTTGTCCTSGGGGTTTTGGAATGAGGTCTGGGAATGGTCACATTGCCAGGCGATGCTGCTCGTCATCCCGGTGTGCAGCAGTGACGCYGGGGGTGGGAGCACACGGAGCTTCACGGGTGCTGCTTGTGTCACTGCTGGTGTCACCTGCCAGGGACGTGGCCCAGATTGGAGTCCTGCTTGTGGCGTGCTGGGCTGTCCTGGTGACACAGAAATGAGCAGGGCCGTTTGGGCTTGTGCTAGCCAACTCTGGCAGTCAGCTTGAGCAGAAACCCCTCAGAGTGAGCCTCTGGGCCCCTCTCGGTGTGGGGGGGCAGGTGGGTGCCTGGATTGGGGCTGTTTCTCTTTGCCTGCTGATGGAAACCTCTTGTTCAGAGCAGCTGGTTTGATGTGTACAAAGAGCTGGTGCCTGTGGGTCTCTGGGTGCTCCTTGAGCTTTGCTGGGTGCAGAGYAGCTGCAGSGCTGTCARGGAAACTGAGGCACGGGATCCACGTGGGGTCYCCACAGAGTTTCCTGCTGCTCAGTCCTGTCTGTTGGCTTGCAGGGTGGTGGCACCGTGTGGGGTGTGACACCCGTTTGGGGGTTTGGAGGAGGAAGGGGAACGCTGAGCCTGGTTCTGCTCGCCCATGGTGGAGAGGTGCAGGCTGGGGCTGTGCCTGCGGGGAGGCTCCAGCAGAGCATGGCTGGGGACATCGTGACCCCCYTGGTCCAACGGGGACCTGGATGACCTTTCTGGGGCACAGCCGGTGTCAGCTGGGATTGCAGGGTGTGCCGGTGGTGGGTGATGCTGCTGCTGGTGGGCAGCAAACAGGCGGCCCTTGGGTGATGCAGGATGCTGCTGCTCTCCCGCATTCACGGGGAGGCTTCCGTGGCTCCTGGCCTGGGCAAAGGTGCTGAGATCCCCGGGGACAGCACGGGACACATGTCGGTAGCAGCGAGAGGGGCTCCCTCCTCCCGGTGTGGCCTCAGCGCTGTGCTGGGTGTGCGGGAAGCAGCCGGGGTTTGGGAAATGCCCACCGCCTGCCTCCCGCCCCGGCCGTGCTTTGGGGCGGGGGCCAAGGGGAAGCGCTGGCCGGGAGGAGGGGCTGCCCAGGGCTCTCTTTGCTGGCCTCCCCGCGGCTCTGGGCGAGCTGCTGCGAGCGAGCCGCTGCTGAGTCAGCGCTCGGCAATTACTCACTCGCACAAGCCTCGCCAGCTCCTCCCGGTGCCGGGCTGAGCCGGGCCCCGTGCCAGGGAAGCGATTGGCCATGAAGGGCTGCGAGCACCGAGCCACCCGTCCGGACGGGAGGTTCCCCTGTCCCCCCAGCACTGCCAGCCGCGGGTAACAGCCCTCCTGCCCCTGCTTCCCCACCATCGCCCCCCTGGCACCCTGATGTTTGCCCCAGAGGAATGGAACCCTCCCCAAGGAGCGCCCCTTCACCGGCTGGCTTTGCCCCAGTAGTGCCTGCTGGCGTGGCCTCACCRAACTTTTGGGGCAAATTCTATTGTATGATGGGTGGAGAAGCCTCAAATTTTCATCGTGGACTGGTTTTGGGGTCAGTGGGATCAGCTGCACCAGGTCACRGGCTCCTCTGCCCTGTTCAGCTCTTGCTGTTATCTGGTGGTGCAGCCAAAGCTGCCGTTCCCTGGTGCCACGGTTGCGCTTCCCTTGCGAGAAACCCTTGCCCGTTTAATCCGCTGAATTATTGGCAAATTCCTGCAGCAAATAATCCTTGGCTGGCAAATGCCTCGCAAACAGCTTGTGGGAGAAGGTTTGCACTTGGCGGCTCGTTCTGTGTCGGTTGCRTAAGGCGGGCGCTGGAGCCGGCACAGGGACGGGGACGTGTGCGGGCGACCGGCGGCCTCAGGATCGCCTTTGCCGACCCAAACTTCCTGCTTGATGAACAGAAAAGTGTCTGGGCGGAAATTTGTGAGGTTCAGTGGTCGTGGGGATCTCGTTGTGGCTTATCAGGAGGTTGTGGCTGTGGTGGAGGGGGTGCTGTGAGCATCAGAAGTGCAGGGTTGCGCTTTTGGGATGCACTCGGTGGGTTTGGGATGCTGGTGCATCCCACGATGGGCCAGAGGAAATATCCATGTGAGGAGAACCATTCCTGAAGGACCCAGAGGGACCCAGCACACCACTCGCTGACCCTTGTCCCTCCAGCTGTGACACAGGGTATTACTCCTCATTCCCTGACTTMTTTTTTGCCGTGTATCTGATGGGAGAGGTCCTCAGTGCAGGTGGCACCAAGGCGGCAGACACCACGTTGGGATTTCCATGAGCAGTGGGATTTTCTGGTGTAAATAAGCCCAATGAGGGGCTTGTCCCACGGGCAGCCCCCTGGGACCCTGTGCAGGAATGGATGGCACTGATGGGTTCAACTGGTGTTCGCTTCTTGTGTCAATAAATCCTTTTTTTTTTTTTTTTTTT